TTTTCCTTTGTCTTTCCCCTCCTCTTAGTTGTCCCTTCCCTTGGGAGAGTTTCTTAGTCTCTTTCCCTTTCAGTGTCCGCACTGCCTTTCATATCCTATTTGTTCTTTCAGGTACTTACACTAGGGAGACAACGTGATGTTCACACATGTGGGTCTGATTTATTCTACTTTCGAGTATGGTCTCTAGATGTAACCCTTTACCCAAGAAAGTCTTGAATTTATTTCTTACAGCTGAATAATACTCCATTGTATAAATATATCACAGCTTTTTTATCCATTCCTCAGTTGATGGGCATCTGAGATATTTCCAAGATCTAGCTATGACAAATTGAACTGCTATAAACATGGGTGCACAAATAACAATGTGGTGTGATGATTTCAGTTCTTTCAGAAAAATGCCCAGGAGGGGGATAGCTGGGTCGAATGGGACCTCCAATCCTAGCTTTCTGAGGAAGCACCACACTGATTTCCATAATGGCTGTACTACTCTGCACTCCCACCAACAGTGCAGAAGGGTTCCTTTTTCCCCACAGCCCCTCCAGCATTTGTCATTGGCTGACTTGTTGATGACAGCCATTCTTTCTGGGCTGAGATGGAATCTCAGTGTTGTTTTAATTTGCATTTCTCGAATAACTGATGATGCTGAACAGAAAATATGCTTATAGAAATGAAGTAGGGAAACACAGAAATATACATCTGGATCAATATGCTATCTCAATTATTAGATTAAAAATATAAAATAACTTTGCTCAGACATGTATGCATGCTGTGAACTTATTTAAGCCTTCTAGTAAAATTAATATTCTAGCTAGAGAACATTTGAAGGAAATGGGATTTAAGGAGAAACACCACATTTTCCAAAGACTGAGCATCCAACCTAGATATTTATCTATTTGTCCTACAGAATTTTTAATTAAATAGAATAAGAGAATCAAAAATAAATTTTGTCATGGTGACTTTATGGAGTAAACTAGATATAGCACATACATAATAATGCAAACCTCATTTGGATGTATTTGGGCCTTGAAATTATACCAATTTCTGTAAAATATATATAAATACATATTTGCTATGACTATTTTTAAAATGAAGAAATTCCAGGTAGGTCCTTATCATTCACATTACATAAGATTTATTTTTAAATATTTATTTTTTAAATGTATTTGGTTGTGACAGGGTCTCACATACAGCTCAGAATCATGGTCCTCTTCCTGCTTTCAGCCTCCTCAATGCTGGGATGACATGCATGAGCCTCCATGCCCAGACTGGCTGGCACACCCAGGGGCGGGGCTGGCACAGCATGTGGTGCTAGGGATTGAACTGTAGTCCCTGACCTTGTCTAAGCTTACCTAAGCTATCTCACCAGCCCCAATTTGTATTAAACGAAAATAAAATAAATGACTTTAAGTCTTGTCAAGAAAAAGGAAATAACCCAACAAAGGCACATTATCAGACTTCGGTTTCCTTAAGTAGTAAAGTAGAACTGTACTGTAACATCATGTAACTCAGTGATGTCCCAAATTTTCTGATCAAGGAGATTATGGGGCCACAGAGGAATGTGATCGACAATGTAGAATGTGCCTAAGGAGAGCCACATGGAGAGAAAACATTCTCTCAGGCTTTCACAGAGAGCAAATTGGTCAAGCAATGGCCATGACTCATCCATAAGGCTGAAACTGACAAAAGATCTACAAACTGCAGTACAGGATTTCAGAATAAATCCTGAGGGGATTTGACTGACCTTATCAAATACAAAAGTGACATTTCTTGTTATATAGGTCTTGCTTTATCTTGGTCTTAAACACCCAGCATAAAAGTATAAAAACAAAGCAAAAAAAGTAAAACCATATTAATATGCTGAGCTGTAAAAAGCTCAAGTCAACAACTTCTGACATTGCCAGTCTTATGGAAAACCCACTACTATTATGGACTACTGGACTATACTGGAATATTTTGCGGAATTCATGCACCTACAATATTTAAATGACAATGGAATACGCTTCTCTGACAAAACTGAACAAAAAAAAGGGGATACAAATAAACAACCATTTTGTATCTGTATTTTCAAAATAGTTATGATAGATATACAGCTACATTCTCTTAATTCATTGAATACAAAGATTTGTTCTAATAGTGTTTGTGGACAGGATATCATATCTGCATCTTGTACAATGAATAACTATTAAGACAACAATATGCAACATATTAAGTATTAAAACTGTCCTACTAATTGGTTTTGAAACTGCCTCGTTGCTATGTGTTTCTCAATGTAATTATTAAAAAAAAAAAAAAAAAGAAGTAGTAAAGTAGTACTGACTACATTTCCGAAGGGACACAGTTCACAGGAGATGAACAGCACCTAACAGCTAGCTACACCTTGAGTGCTCTTTTCCCACCAGGTGTGGACAGCATGACTCACCAGCAGGGTCCTGCATCTGACGTCTTGCCACTTTCAGACCAGCATACTCTGCAGCGGCTGCCACTGCCTGGGCAAAATCAGCATCAGTGAAGAAGGAGCCATCAGAAGAACTAACACTGGAACGACCACTGGAAATGTTGTCCTCCTCGGAGGCCGAGCCCCAGCCGTTGATCATGGACCCAGTGACAGAGCTCTCAAGGTCCCCAACGCTTGACGCAGGGGTCTGCTCAAGCCCACGTAACAAAAGCCTTCTAGTTTGCATTTTAGCAACTTCCATGTCAGCTTCATCTTCTTCCTCTTCTGGTGCATCAGTATCCATATCTGAGACCAGGGGTCCTGAAATGTAGCCATAGGTGTGTGGAGGGGAGATTGGTCGAGGTGGTGGAGGAGGACTCACTGGCTGCCGTCTGCAAAAAAAAAAAGAACAACTGGGGTTATATCAGCTCATTGCATGAGACACAAAACAATGAATTAACCAAAAAAAAATTTGCAAGGATACTCATTTTTTGTTTCTGGTAAACTAATTTGCTTCTAGTAGAGTAATTTATAGGGGAAAAATTCCTACACATGAGAGTATGACTGATTTGATTTATTTTGAATTGTATATACCTCACAACCAGGGGCTGTCCTAGGTTACATGCTATTAAAGTTTAATAAAAACATTTTCAGGGCCAGTGAGATAGCTCAGCAGACTAAGCACCTGCTTAGGCAAGCACAGGGACCAAGGTTCCATCCCCAGCAACACATGCCTCGTCAGCCCCGTCCATGGGACATGCTGAGCCAGCCACCAAGATGGGGTGTGGGGGCACACGCCTATAATCCCAGCACTGGGGATGCTGAAAACAGGAGGATCACTGTGAGTCTGAGCTGCATAATGAGACCCTGTACCAAATGCATTTAAAAAAAGAAAACATGTTTGACCATTTATGTCTTCCTATGATTCCTTATTTGCATTGTGATCAGCTAAACAAGAAGCAACACTGACTTTGGAGACGCATGCTTGTGTATTTGTCCTAAAGAATTTCTAAGATAATCAGTAGATTATTACCAAAGGCACCACCCATCAATCTCAAAACAACGTACTCTGTGTGTCTTCATTCCTTTCCCTTCCTTTATGGTCCCTCCTGCTATTTGAGACAAATGGCCATTCATCTTGACCGTACACAATACAATGTTGCATAATATTAAACAATACATACTTGACATACAACACTATTTCTTTAGGTTTTATTAAAATTTAATAACTATTAAAACCATGAACAGTTGTTCTCTGGTTAACTTTTATATCTTTAACTATTAGTTATTAGCTATTTTAAGGTGCATTGATTTTTACTGGTATTCTATCTCCTGCATAACAGTTTTCTTCAAGGCATTATTCCTAATGTCTTGGAATTTGTGGAAAATCAAAGATGAGGACAAACTTAGGTAGCACCCGCAACTAATTCAGCAGTTGCCAATAGCTGACTTAATAAACGTGAACTTGGAGGAAACATCACTAACATCATCATCCACAGCGATTATGTAATGAACAAGGCAGCAGAGAGCATCTAAACTACAGGAGAAAGCAGTCATGGAAAGATGTCATCCAAGAGTGAGAAGACTGCCAAGAGAATGACTCCTGCACCAGATTCACACGTAGGAAAAAGGAGGACATGCTCTGCCTTCTCGGTGGAGCTCTGCTTGGCCAGGACTTGCTCAGCAGTGGCCAGGCAGCACACCTTTAGCCTTGCCTAGAGGTGCCTCAGCAGAGAGCTGATAGGTCGAATGACCGTGGCACGCCTCATCACATTCTGCACTACTGGTAATTCAAGAGGAGAGGTTTCATGCAAGTCTGCTGATGGAGCAGCAATGTTGGAAGGCAGTTGTGATCAGGAACTGATGTCATCTAGTGACTTCCACTATCTAGAAGAGAAAAGGTGGCACAACAAGGAAGTCCACTGGGGGATGAGGCTCACTCATTTAAGAACTACAATCATGTAGAGAGGCAGCCCAGGAAGGAGCCCTTCGTTAGTGAAGTAATTTATGCCAATAACCTTTGAAAGACTCATGGAATAAGCCAAGCTAGGACAGGCTGGTGAGATAGCTCAGTGGAATAAGTGCCTGCTTAGGGAAGCATAGGGACCAGGCTCTGATCTCCAGCACCACAGGCTGTGCTGGTCCAATCCCTGGGCACACTGAGCTGGCCACTGAGACCAGGCGTGGTGGCGCATGCCTGCAGTGTCAGCGCTGAGGAGGCTGAAAACAGGAGGATCACTACAAGTATGAGCTGTGAAGTGAAATCCAGCACCAAACACATAAAAACAAAACAAACAAACAAGTTGGGGCAATTATTATGGTTAAACAAGAGGAAGAGAGGAACTTCATCTAGTTTTTTTTCTTTGTTGTTTTGATTCCTTCTTCCTTCTATACCCCCACCCCTCCCAGAAGAGGCAGGAAAACAATGTAGCTAAAAGCAGAACATGTAGCCTTACTTCACAGCAGTATAGCCACGAGGTGCATCTGGCAAACGATAGCTAGCTAGGGATGCACGGTTAGGTTTTTAGCTCTGCAGAGTGGGTGGGAAACTAAAAGCAAGCAAAAATGCCCATGTCCTGCTCACAATTAACTAAGGTGAGAACCATGCAGGATCTGGCGAAGCGAACTCCTGTTCAGAGGGAAAGATCAACACCGCAACAATTTCAGGGCAACAGAGCAGCTCTTCAAAGGAAAGTATTTTAATCAAAAGTGCTTTTGATTAAAATGAATAGCACACACACCGAAAATAAAAAGAAATGAACGGCATACTTCATAAACACATTTTAGTAGTGTGACTGAAAATCTGAAAAACAAATGATTATGGAACTACAGTTAACTCAGGTATTAAGCACTTTATCTAAACACAATTTACAGTGTTTTCATTTTTGAAACTTTGAATTACTTTTTAAATTTTTATTTCACAAAAGCTTTGTTTCCATGTTTTCATTCTTTTCTCATTTCTTTGTTTTACTTTTCTTTCCTCTCCCCTTCCCTTCTCCCTTGGGAACATTTTCTTCTTATGTCATAATACTTACTGTAAATGGAGAGGAGGAGGAGGGGTTAAAGGTAGAATTGGAGAATGGGAAAAATAACCAAGTTATATCCTACACAGGTACAGATTCCCTGTGGTGAATATGAGATATATACATACTATAAATAAACACATATATAATATACCATTAAAATCTGATTAAAAAATTAAATAAAACAAAAATTATTTTACACTGAGAATATTGAAAATCAGAAGAATTAAAGACTATGTGAAAGTTTCTATTATTGGTATACATCAAATGCAGAATTTAAGCCCAAATTTTATATTCAAAATCATGACCTTTCTGAGTGGCATCATTACACACACACACACACACACACACACACACACATACACACATACACACAAATGTATTTATAGTGTGCAAAAGATGTCTCACATGTACATGCATTTAAAAACCCAAAAAATGAGAACTATCATGTTACACTGAAGCATACATGATATATGTATATGCAGTTTATATATGTTACACATACTTATGTATGTAAGTCTATTATTTGCTATGTTTATATATAATTACATTTTGTGTACACATGTATACAGAGTTCTTTAATATAATGCATTATTTTCTATTTCTGGGTGGCGTTAAATGTGTTTGTGTGTGGCACTAGAAGAAATATGAAAAATGTGTCAAAGCTGAAGTTACTTAGCAGATTAAAATGGATAATTGTTTCAATGTGGAGAGTGCTGTACACACAAGAGGAGCACCATTGTTTGATTTGGAATGCAATAAAATACCATCCTTAAAAGCTAATTTATAATTTTTGTCACCATACATATCCACGATGCCACAAAAGGTCTCTTTGTGAAGGCATGTAAGGCTTTTTAGTGCAGAGGGAACTATTTTGACCATCAATAAGGGGGATCAGAATGGCCAACTTTGCTATTAAGAGATGCCAGTATTGTTATGTTCAGATTGTCTGGATTCTGTAGAGCAAAAATATTCTCATGTTAAACAAGGGCTGGCTTTTAACTACCACCACCCCATGCAAATGATGAAGACAGAGAAATTTATGCAAACCATCTGTGAGGGAGGCCAGCCTAGGGAATGTGTGATAAACATGTACAGCTTGAAATATGTAATATATTCTATTTGAAAACAGAAAAAGCTATTTCAAGATACTGCACTCAAGAGAGACTTGTCACAAATCATCCTCCACCCTGTAGATTCCTCCCCCTGAGGGTTTTCATAGTCTGCTTAAATAATGTACTGTATAAGGGTGCGACTCGCACCACTGTAGGCTCCTGTAAAAACGACACCCTCATAAATATGTTCAAGAGAAAAAGTGATTGCACTACCTTATAGAAGCAGGTAAACATACAATTCACCATATATGGTAGCACTTAGCAGGCAAAATCAAAAGGGGCCAAATGTATACATTTGAATTTTTTTCTAATGCTAGTTTAGTGTTAATTCTTTGTGTAGTTAACTATTATCCAGCTTACAAAAAGATAGGATACGTAATTTTCATTTGCATATTTGCTTTCTTTTCCTTCCAACACTACCATATTCATCTCTATTAAAAATAAGTTTCCTATTTCATACCTGAAAATTATTTTTTTATTTTTCAAGATGTTTTACTCACATTAAATGCAATAGTTACAGACACTTTTTTAAAAAGTATATGTGAATAAGTTTGATTATTTTATTTTAATTGTTCTTGTCTGGACATACAGAAAAGAAAGAATTCCATCATGTTGATCACCTACTTTGATTGTTTAAACAAAAATAGAGTATACAAAGTTCATTAGAATGACAAAATGTCCATAATAATACAAGTTTATAAAGCTTTTAATTAAGACTCTGATGTTATGTGTTTTATTTCAATAATTTTTACTGAGGGCCTACTAAAGCATAAAAGTGATGTTTTCTTTAAACATTTACTGAGTATCTGCTATGGTAAATACTCTGGTACTTCTAACACCGAAAAGACGGCAAGCAATAAAATCTTAGAGAATGCTTCACTTCTCTAAGTAGTTAAAATTTTTACACTTTTAAAATATGTAAGAATTCAGTGTTAGTATTGAATATAAGCTAAACATACACGGGCATGGATGAGTACATTTTGCAAATCTCCGTGACATTGTGCCCATCCTAAACCATCTTCTGAAATGTGAGCTTGTCACTCTGCCATGCCCTCGGGGGGACCGGGACTGCACTGTTGGATTCTGATGGATCTTGTGACAGTTTTGACTATGAGAATGTAAAGAAAAGGCTGTGGCTTCATTTGCCATAAAATGCTTTGTCTGCCAACTTCCTCTTCCTGTCTTGGAAGCTGGGTGTCACATGAGAGGTGTCATTTTCTGGGACACTGTGGCATGAGAAGCCTAGCTAAGCGGTATGACCTGCAAGGACACATTCCACCTGCAACAGCTTACCTAAAGCCATGTGGATTCGAAATGAACTGTTCAGCTAAAATTTTCAGACTGTGCGATTCATGGGATTTTGAATAAAATAAAATGGTTACTATAGACTTTCAAATTTGAAAATAGTTTATTAGCTATAAAAACAGGAACTCAGGCACTGTATTAGGAACTCAGCTTGAAATTTAAAATGCTAAATTTAAAGGGATCAGATTCTGGTCAGAAGGAACTGTAGTCCATGGAGGAGACAAGCAATGAATTATAGATGCAGTGATAGCGAGTGTCACCAAGTAGCCACTAGGCTGTAGAGGACACCAAGGGGACCCACAGAATCGAGATCTATCCCAGAGTTGGGAAGGAGGGCAGCAGGGAAAAGGTTCTGCCTTGTAATCTTGCATCTACAGGATACGAACGTATAAGCCACAAAAAGAAATGGTAATGCTGTTCCCAGAAGATGCGACGACATGTATGAAGAGAATGGAGGTGAACAGGAGTCGTGCTCACTCCCACAACTGGATGAAATTTAGAGAGGGGAAAACACAGAGGTGGGGGTTGGAAGCGGGTCAGGACCAAGGCACAGAGAGGCGACATCACAAAGAGGCTTGATTGCTGCATTAAGGAATTCTGCCTTTATTTTAAGGGAAATGAAGCCATTGAGAGATTTTTAAGCAGTAGAGAGACTTGATCAGCATTGCATTTGAGAAAAATGTCTCTACATGGTCTGTAGCAGGGGCTGAGACTGGAGAAGTGGGAAGGCTAAAGGCAAGAAGATCACTTAGTGGAACATTACGATAATGCAGGCACGAGAAAATGGCTGTCGGAACAAGGAAAGTGCATTTGTGATTGGAGGTATGTGTATCACTCAGAGTGGTACTTAAGTAGTAAAAGTCTGCAGGAGTAAGTAGTTGGATGGATGAGCCTGAAGCTCTGGTGAGAGATCTGTAGGGAAATAGCTATCTATCTCCAGTGATGCATCGTTAGGGAAGTGGCTGGATGATAAGAAAGACGAGGCACCTAATGATGGGGTGGACATTTGAATAGGTAAAGGGATTGAAAACAGGCGCGAGTTGGAGGGTGGTCGTGGGGTGAAGGGGACGTGAAAAGAATTCAGAGGTACATCTACCCACTCCTCAGGATAGTGCCACCATTATGTACCAATAAAAATAAAAATTAAGAATAAAAACATTTTCTTCAGTTATGTTTGCCCACTTCAAGTTTAAGCAATTGTGTATCACTTACAACAGTAGAAAGGTTATTTACAAATCTTACTGCAGTATCAGATTTCAGTCATCAAATACTGAATAACTCTGTGGAACCAAAATAAATGAGTAAAATATGATTTTTGTCTTCAAAAGTTTAAATATAAGTGAAGAGTCAGAAATGGCTGGCAAACACAAGCTGAAAACTTTTAAGCACCTCCACAGAGTTGGGAACACAGCTTCATGCAGAATGAAAAGAAGGTCACATGATTTTTATCAGGCTGCTGGGAGCAGTGTTTGAGCAGGAATCGGAAAAATGAGAAATACTTGCTGGGCCATCAAAGCAGCGTGCACAAGACCAAGCTGTTGGTGACTTTAAGATAAACTTACAAGGAAAGAGAGACTTGGGAAAAGAGGACATGGTAAGCAAAAGGGAAAGGATGACAAGTGGCTCTGAATATTAAGGGAAACAGTAAGGCTTACCTCAGAGGGAGAAATCTATGCAGACTTCTATATGTAAAGAAAGATAGTGTGAGAGTGGACACCACAAAGCCAGGAGGAAAATGGAGATCTTTGGAGAATATGGAAGACCAGGAATGGATGAAAACTGAGGCTGTCCCCTCCTCACTACAGGCATGGAAACAAAGGCGCAAAATTGAGAGCTCTTTTCAGGTTAACATTAAAAAAATGCAATGCATAATTTATGCAATGGTATGATGACAACCAAAAAAAATAAATAAACAGGAGGAGAACCAAGGTGGCTTCAAAATGACAAAGGATTTTAATAATCCGTGCCTATCCCCTTGGCTATTTCATGTGTAACATATTGACCAAAGAAATAATGATTGGTCATTCTAGATAAGATAGCCATTAAGGCAGCACAAGGAGCAAGCTTGCAAAGCTCCCTATAAACGTGATGAACGTGGATCTGGGCATGTGGAGATGTCCAAGTGAAAATATCATGGAGACACTCAGGAAAATGGTCCGGGTTGGCTGAAGACGTCACAGTCATCAGTAGGCATCATCCCTGTCGGACTCCCAGCAAAAGCACAGATGGAAAATACTGTTTGTTGACCACTTACCCTGCCTCAGATATTTAACAAACATGACCGCATTTGATTTGCACAGCAATTTGTACAATTGTCTTCCCTGCAGAAATCTGACGTATGCCACGGAATGAGAGACCTTTCTGTTTCTCTGTTAGGAGGCTCCTTTCAGCCAACTGAGGGAAGCACAATGAGAAAGGCAGGAGGCAGGCAGGGAGCGGACTTGTGAAGGTGGACACAGTGAAAAGCACGCAGCAGGAAGCGACCAGGTAATCAGACGAGAAGGCCGGGAAAGGGGCAGACTAAAAGAGGCAGAACTAACGGGGAAAGAAGAAAGAGCTGAACAAGGAGAATGAGACTTACTTATCAAGCCAGATAAGGCTAACTTGTTTACAAGAAAAAGTGGAAGGCAGTACATAAGGGAGGCAAAAGAAAACTTGCTGGAGAGAAGAAGATGGGTGCTACTGGCAACACAGAGGGACAGGGCAAGAAGAGGACACTCTTAGAGAACTAGAAAAGACACTGAAGTTCTCAGTGTTGGTTGCTGTTAGCCTCTCATAAGAGTTAGTGAGGACGGTCTGTCTGCTGCACAGGGAAAAGAGGCACTTTGCTGTGTTCAATTTGCGTGGATTCTGAGAGTCATTACTATTGAACTTAAATACCTGGTATGCAACTTTCTCCTTGTCACACAGCCAGGTTTAACAACCCCCTTTTTTAGAGAGCATATAGTTCGAATTTGGTAATAAGTCCCTTTATCGCACAACAGACAGCAAACATTTCAAATTCTCTTTAATCAACACAGTAAAATTCAAGCAGCAAAAACCAGAATTTGCTTTCATTCAATCCACTGAAGGAATATATTCCAGGCAAATAATACACTTGGTTTCAATTTATAGTAAGAATATGAAAAGCAGTAGATACACAATACAACATGTCAAGGACAATAAAAGAGTCCCAGCAAAGTCATGAACAATGAGAGAAGAGCTAACATGTTATGGTAATAGGCTTTCTGTGGTATAAATGACAAATGAAGCCATGGAAAAGTGTACTGCTTGGTAACGCTTGATATACAGGTTAGAACAAGGTTTAAGGTGTGCATGCACCAAAGGTGCACAGTGAATGTAATGTTTATATATGACACACATGAGCTGAAAATATTAGCAACAATAATACAAAGGAGGACTGTAACCTGGAGAAAGAGTAAAGGAGGAGGGCGCCGAGGGGAAAAGGAATAAAAAAAAAAAAATATTTTAAGTACATGTATCTACTCCCTAAGATAAATGTAAAACTCATGAACTACAAATGGGTAATAATAAAATAAAAATATTTTTAGAAATTAAAAAAACCTCAATGCGTGCGTGCGCGCACACACACACACACCGCACACACGCACACCACACCCCCTCGCGCGCGTGCGCACACACACACACACGGTAGTAATCTTGATAAAAGGACTTCAGCTTAATGTCTAAGACAAAATAATGGTCAACATAAAATGAATGCATCAAACTCATGCTTTTCTGATATTACACCTATGAGACAGCAAATTATAATGTAGTTTTAATTTTAAAAGATGAGAAAGTCTATTTTTCTGTAGGCCCAAGGAGGAAATTGCCCATGCAAAAGGAAAACTAAGGTACAAAAACATCCACCATCAATAACATGTTATGGGATTAGCAAACCATGTTTTTATGAATGTAATTATCATAAGTGGGTGAGTGTTAATGCACATTATTTTATGGCTGCAAGTTCGCTGAGATCCATTAATCTAATGTGATACTCAACAATTTTATTTTATACCCTCATTATCTGAGATTACTGTAGAATGCTACTCGAAGAGAATGCTCAGGTGATTTGAAAACTTCTCCATAGCATTTAATAAATGCCCACAAAGAGGGAAAATTGTTTGATTTCTCAGCAACGGCAGCCAAGGGCCACCTACCTCCTGTCTGGGTGATGCTGCACGTGGCTCGCCTCCTCGGGGCAGTCCTGAAGCATGGGCTGGAGTTCCTCCTGCGGGGAGGGCGTCAGAGTGGCCGTGGACTGATGGCTGTAGGACACGGCAGCCGGGGAAGACGCTGCTCCCCGCACGGGGGGTGTGGGGCCCCTTTCCTCCTCCTCCTCCTCTAATTCATCCTGCTGCAAATACATCCGTGCTGGTGGTACAGGGCATGGCATTTCTTGGTCATAGCTAAAATGAATTATAAGAACATCTAGAATTACTTCTGGAAATCCAAATAAATTCTTTGTATTTACAATAAACAGAATTTCAAATTTGAATTATTTTTAAAGTCAGAAGCTTTTGGCTCATATAAAGGAGATAGTGCTTTCATAAAAGCTCATGTTCATAAAGGTCTGAGAATTACTACACCCACTATTTTTCCCTGAACAATTACAATTTATCATGTTAGAGAAGCTGAGATATCAAAGAATAAAAGAATCCCACTTAACACTGCTTAACTTAGTCCATCTCAAATGTACTTGGTAGGTTTGGTGGATTCTGCCTTTATGATTCAAGATGCTCACAGGAAGAAGATGCAAAGATGGCATGCAAATGGCCTGAACATAGGGGGCTTCACTCTAGGCACTGAGAAAAATTATTCTGTAAAGCCTTTCAGAGGGAGATGAAATTGGACACTGACGTATTTAGTCCAGTACCATTCACTTTCCTCCTGCAATGGTAATAGATCATGTTTTTCATTTGAGCACAGAATGAACTAGTTGGCGGTGTTTGGGACGGTGAGTGAGAAACACAATGCTCTTAAGCAATAAAATGCCCTCCTGTGTTCTCTGCTAGAGCTATGTGGGAGTCAAGACAGATCTGGGAAATTTTCCTGTTTTTTCTCTTACCCTTGGGTCAATGTTTAATGATGAACATGAGCGTGATGAACTTCTCTATATAACTTGTGTTGTTGTTACCACTCTTGTTGACTCAGTCACCATCTTCCTTGTTTAACTTAATTTAGAAAAGCTGATGCACAAATAATATGGTTCTTTGGTATCTTCTTTTACTTTCCTCATCTTTCTTACTGTTTCATTCTGCCACCCTTCCTCGTGTCGTTTGTTGCCAGGTAGCATAGTACTTGATTCATCTAGACTAAATACTTACGGAGAATTATTTCCATCTCTTCTCCAGCACACTGTGTCCTTGCTCATCCCTAGTCTGTCTATAAAGTATGTCCAGAATCAACTTCTGTATTTTTACTTGTTACGTCTGCCAGTGCGATCACCCCTCAATGGTGCTCTTTGCCTCTAGTTATTCCTTCTGTTGCTCCAAAATTTCTTTCGAGCACATCACTCTCAGGTCACTCACTTGTTACAAACTAAAAAGTGCCTATTTGCTTAGAGAATAAAATAAAAATACCAACGCATGGCATTCAAATGTCTGCAGAATCTGTCTTACATTTGCTGCCCGGGCCTCTCTCTCCCTACCATGTGTTTCACGTTACTCCTTCTGGGGTCCACCGATCTGTGTGGTCCCTGTTCATAAAGTGCCTTCTCTTCTCTTAATTGAGAAAATTCTCATTTGTCAATGTCGAGAACAATTACCAGCAGATCTGGTTTACTCTTCTCAGTTAAAACAGTTAAAGTCAGACTTTTGCTTTGTCCCCTGTTACATCTCTTGGAGCTTTCTTTCTTAAACCTATGTACGCTATTTCATTTTAATCCTTTTTAGTGAACTGTAATAGTAATAATGGACTAGAAAACAAACTTTGAAATTTCAGTTAAGCTTGTCTTCATTATTGGAGATTCCACATTTTCAAATTCACTGACTCAGTAAAATTTATTTGCAACTCAAAAACCAAGACCTGCAACACTTTCATAGCTCCTCCCCCCCCCGATGCACGAAGAGGCCAACCATGGGAGCCCTCAGACATGCGTGTTCTCAAGGAAGCCAAGTGATGGCACTCCACTTCTTACATCAGCTCTCTCTATAAACCTGTGTCCTTTTAACACAGTTGATTTAATGTCATATTTTAATTTTTTTCCTCATGTTAATGATTTCTCTGTTTCAAACAGTGCTCAAAGCAAGTATTATTTGGGCTCCTAATCATAAGAAAGATGTGATGCACTTTATGGAGAAAACACATTCTGGGCAGATGCATTTTTTTTTTTTTTCACAGATACGACATAATGTTGTTGGCTCTGAGTTTCATGTTAGTGAAAAATTCATGTTACATCAGGTGCTTTTAATACAACATACATTCAATAAAGTCATGGACTGACACAAATGTGATCCAGCGCTCAAGCAATATACTTATATTTCCTCTAGTGCTATGGTTCAACCCCAGCTAATTCAGTGCTCACCCAAACTCTACAAAATATAAATACTTTAGATAAGGAGACTTGCCTAAAAATATTTTTCCAGAAGCATTTCTCACAGAAATATATTTTATTAAAATGATTGGGAAATAAATTAGAGAGTTTCTGAGCACAGGGGGAATGACAACACCCGGGGGATTTTTGGGAAGAGCAGAACAAACCTCCACTTTTCTGGCAGTCACTGAAGAGATCCATTTTCAGCCTTGCTTTTCCTTTTCTGCTGTTACGGCCCTATATCAAGTGAATTCTCCTTGGTTTCTAGTAGTGAAGTGATCATTTTGTGATACAGTCATAGAGACCACAGTTATACAGAATGTGGAGGAAAGAACTTTCTAATTTTTTTCATATGAACCATTTTTACTTGTTCTAACCTTTGAGAAGAAAATGTAGGAATGTTTAAAGTACTGTAAAATGTTCTTTGTAATGCAATGATAACTACAGGAAATCATTTTTTTTAAACTACCATGGTTGAAGGGCACATCCACACAATGAGTCCGTGAAAATTTAACAGGGCGCTGAAGAATTTCTGGCAATCACATTTCACTCCAAGACAGTTTATGTTCTGAGACATGCGTTACTAGGTGAGGTTGTGATTCTGTAAATATCACAGAGCTTACACTTGCAAATCTAGATGGTCGAGGCCACCACACACAACGACAGAGCCTACCATTCGTAGGGCACAAACCTACACAGCACATCGCTGTATTTGATGCTGAATGTAACTGTAGCGGAGTCGTAAGCACTGGTGTATCTATTCACACACAAATATGGAATAGGCACAGAAAAGGACAATAAAGGTAGTAGACAACAAGAATCCGCCGATCTACTATAATTTTATAGGATCACCATCATATACATGCGGTCCAACACCACTAGAAGCAACCTTATGAATGTCTGACTATTTTTGAAAACTCCACAATCATACAAATGACTGTATATACCTGAGCGTCTATCTACAACTGTAGATGCAGGATCATACTGTGGATTTCTATGTGCACAAGAAATCTGCAGTCGTAGAACCGCCTGGAAAGCCTTTCCTGGGCAGCCTTCGGCGGGTGGCTAAGGCATAGTGACTGACACTGTTTTATTTAGAGACAGTGTGTGTGCACCGTCGTCATCAGTGTTCTTTCAGCAATCCAATTTAGCTATTATTTTTATGGGCTTCAGCAATGATTGCGCTGCACCACTTGGCCCTCGCATCCTCTTACCTTTCATCTACAGAAATGCTGCACTCTTCACTGTGGCTGTGAGGAGGGGGGTGTGCTGGGGGCGGGGGCAGCAGGTCGGCCCAGCTCATGCCCCCCTGCTTCGGCGCCTTGGGTGTCCGTGCCCCTTTCTTGTGCCCGTGACTCCCTAGAGGAAAAAAAAAAAAAACACAACACAAGGCTTTCACTTCTGACCTTTAAAAATGTTTCTATTATCCCTGAGTTAATTACTTCCTGCAAATATGATCTTACGATTCATATGTGTACATGGGGCTAGGCATACATTTCCTTGTTAATTTTAAATATGATTTTGTACAAGAAGCAAAGTATTACCAAGGTGAACTGCAAAATACGAGGCAGAAAGCAATAAAACCATAAATGAATTTTATAATTCTTATCGTGAATAGTGATCTTTCTGTAGCAATTAATTGCATTATGGATTATTATCTAAAACAATGAGCTGTAGACATACTTTCTGGAGTGCCTTTCTATTATTTAATTGCTAAAACCTAAAATACAGTATGATAAAGATACAATCTATTAGAGTTTCATTGTGGTATTAAATCACTGAATATAAATAATTTGTACTTGTCCATTGAAATGTTTTAGGCACAGTAAAATTACTAGTTTTCTTTTAAAAGGCAAGTATATAAGAACATAATTGCTAGAAAAACTAATATATCTAATGACAAAGAAGAAGACAAATGTTTCTTTTAAAAAAGAACCAACCAAAGCACTCTCAACTATGGTTTCTATAAAATTACAGCTTTTGGCAAAATGATGCTGTAGAATATTCTTGGTAGTTGGAAATGACTCAGTTATTCAAGTGCTACTATGTTCTGCTTGTAGATGTGGCATAATTTTAAAATATTGTTAGCTCTATCTATAGTCATTAAAAAGTCCACTTGATCAAAAGACGTGGGAAAAACTACTTCTTCCTCAGTCTGATATATTTTGGATTCAGATGTATGACATAGACAATGTGTTTTGAATTCCTCTCTTACATGATTTCACATCAGCAACTCCCACAGACCTACTTTGCTAAACCTCTGAAGTAGCAACAAGTTATGGTAGGTGAAACAGGTCTCGGTTCATTCAATGACTCTGTTTTCTATTGAGTCACTTGGGAATTTCCATTCAAGTGGCAGTGTGTGTTACACCAGATGTCCCTTCCCTGCACTGCACCAAGCATGGGCTGCAGAGGCTGTTACTAAGCGTCTCTGAGGGCAGCCCCGTGCTCACGAGTCTTCATTCTTCCTCCCACCACTGAGTTGTCTCACAGTGGAGCTGCAGGGCGTGAGTTGCTGAGCTTATGCTGCCTGGCATCCTTCTCTTGATTTCCTGAAACATCTGCTATGACAAATCCGTCAGCCCCAAGAGACTTGTCACAAGCCCCTCCTACCCTTATTTCCTTGCTTTGTTCTCACCCCTACCATCGCGACATTTCACACGATGACAACATTTTACTAAATATCCACACAACAACAAAAGACAAAACAGCATAACATCTGGATCTGGGCATCTAGGCCGAAGGATGCAGAAGGTCATTTGAAAATTAATTAGCTAGATCCATGGCTTTATTCCATTAAGATATATTTCCATTAGTGACTAAGCATCCAAAGATCAAATGTCATAAGTTAATCAAATTGTTAAAAACTTTTATATGATCTTCCCCAAAGTAGATACCTGAAACTTTTCACTCAGAATTTACTTAATTTGAATAGAAAAAAAGACATTTAATTTTAATTGCTAAATAACAGAAGAGAGTAAAACCAGAGAAAACATGAAAAAGCACAGGCTGTTTCTGAGCTCCTTTTAAGAGCTATTTCAACAATCGCTACAAAATAAAGATGGTAAAAAGTAAATGAGACAGTTATCAGAGAAGTAGGGTGTGCAGACATCACTAAAAGTCCCTAGCAACAGCTCTAATATGCTCTCTGGGCAAGGCCGTTTTGACCCTCTCCTGGAGAAGCAAGCTTGACTCGAGATCAATCCGGGTGCCCCATTGTGGCGGGACTTGCCACATGTTAGTTCTAATAAGGAGCCCCCTTTAATTAGAAAAACAGGACTTAAGGACCAGCAAGTTTCCATCTGCAGCCTCTATCAGGAAAACAGCTGGCAAACAGCTGCAGCAGCGTGCAGACCACAGGGAGAGGCCTTAATATGGCTTCAGAGCAGTGGACTAATTGAGTTTGGGAGGTTGCTTGGGAGGCTTCTAAGCAAGAACTGAAGGATCAGAGAGAGCTTATAAGCTGAGACGGGTTCCCCTTGTACCTCAATCTCAGGTTATTGTCTGACCTGCTTTTAGTCTACTTAAGTGGACTCAGATGATGCATGCTTTTGTAGTTTAGTTTCAAGTGGTAACATATTGGGCAGGTTAGCTTCACGGGCAACATTTTCGGTTATATTTTGGCTAGGGGAGAAAAGGATGTCTTAATTATCTGTAGCATATTTCTGATTTTATAAAAGTTCATTGACAAGAGAGAAAATGCTTAGCATTTGATCATGTAGATTAAAAAATGATTAGCTGGGTGGAGAGTCCACTTAATTGCAGAGGCAAGACCCAGGTCAGAATCAAATAACACAAAGGCGTTTTATGTGTCCCCTAAAAAGAGCAGTCCAGGAGGCCGGAGAGGTGGCTCAGTGGAATAAGCACTTGCCTGACAAGTGCAGGGGCCTGAGTTCAAACCCTGGTTCCATCAAAAAGTAAAATGAAATAGCACAAAATAAAAATAGCAGTCCATTAGCACCAAATTCATAATCATGGAATGTACCAACTTACAAAGGGGGGTGAACATTTTCTTTGGTTCCTCTTACTTACCAGATGTACTGCTGCCCCGATCTGAACTGTTATAGGACCCTCCTGTATTCTGGTCATATGATTGGTTGTATGGGATCGTCGGAGGAATCGTGTCATTTGCTCGATAATCTAGATATTTCAGATGGAAAAAATTAATTGTTTCTGCTTGTCAGTTATTTCACTTGTCTGTTTTGTCTGTATTTTTAACTACCTCAAGAAACCAACTGATCCATTTATTTTAATACTTCTTTTTTTATTTTAATATTCAATTGTCAGGACATAAAAGTTTATATTTAGGGGTAAGTAAGAGGGACTGAGTGTGCTGCACAGTTGAAGGGTACATTCTTAGCCTGCACAGCGTGCTGAGCTCAATCTCTCATTATTGTACATGATGTAGAATGATTTTTAAATAGTAAGATATGTAAATATCATGTCTAAAATTTAAAAAAAAACTTAAGTTACAGTAAAATAAGAAGTATAAACTTGTCAGCAAGATTGTATTTAATACAAATGTGTCCCTGATTTAAAAAAACCCCAATATATATGAATTTGGTTTGGAAGTGTCTTTGTTGACTTAGCCAAAGGTGAAAACTCAGTGATAAGTTCGGCAACGGAACACAGGCAGAAACACAATCTGTCAGTGCAGTCGCTCTCTGCGCGCTTTATGACACTCTGATGGACCAAATCTGCTTACGAGTGATATCAACAGTAAATCAGAGTTCTGAAATATTTGTACAGCGCACTGTCAGAGCTGTCCAAGGTCCAGGGAAAAACCAAGCGCTATGGAGAAATAGTGTGATAAGAGCTTAAATCCCCACAGTAAACTCCACAATTCCAGAAACCGGCTCTTTTATCTTTGTCTGCCTTTGTTATGAACTTATGCAGGACTCTCAATAAATATTTGATAAATTGGGGTTTTGTACCAATCAAGTATTTTCTTAAAGTTAGGAAAAGGCCGGATGATTTATAAAATGAAAACTTATCAAATGAATTTATTCAAAAAAATATTTATTATCTTTTAGTAATTTCCAGATATAGTAAGCTTGATTTTTGACCAAAATACTCTCAACTCAAGCCTAAAAAAATAAGCCTATGTCTCTAATTAGCTGACATGCATTGTTCATCTTGATATTTGTAGAACATTGCTCCATCTATTTAAATAGAGCAATTTTTTTATATAGGTCTTTTTTTTTCCTATATAGTTCTAACTATAGGTCTAACTTTGCAAATCATATTATTAAAATAGTAGCCTGAAGAACTACAAAGAAATCCAATACCCATCTCTTCTAACCCACACATATTACAATACGGAGACATTCCCCTCAGGCCATACAATACCATTCTGCTCCTTCAAGTTAATACAAAACTCAATTTATTTTAGGTTCTATACTGACAGACTTCAATCAGGTCAACCAAGGAAATTTAGGTTCTAAAATTATACATTGTAGCAGTCTCAGTAATCACACGAGGTAGGAGAAATACAACAAATTGAACTACCTCTCAAGATCAAGTTTAATTTAATTATTTTTCTTCAGTTTGATATAAAAATGCCATTCGCTTATATGACCATGTAAAGCAATTATCTTCCATCCTCAAGTGGAAAGAACAGGATGGTCTATTTATTGAAAATGTGAAGTATTGTGACGGTTGCACATCTGCCTTATGAATAAAAGATTGTATGTCCCAAGCAATCCCTCACCTACTATTAAATTTAAATTAATCTCCAAACCATTTGAAAATACTTATATATTATTATAAAATCAATTTTCCAAGGTTATTGTTGTGCTAATTAACTCTTTGACACTGGAAATTTTGAAAGCAAAGAAATAAGGAATTCTAGGTAACAAAAGGAGAGTTTCTCCCTGTTAGGCACAGAGCAGGCGCCACGCCGAGCCCTAAAGAACTGAGAGCACCCACCCCGGGCCTGGACTGGATTCAATGCAAAGCTAACTCTGTACCTTTGTTCAGCTTGTTCTGCTCCATGATGTTGTACTGAGTGGGTGCCGCTTCTTGTTTCTGCGGACCGGGTGCTTTCCAGTGCTTCTCACTGCAGTCCCCGCTGCCACTGTTCATGTTGTTGCTGAGGTTTGACTGGATGAGCTGGGTGGTGGCGTAAGGAGTGGGCTGCCCTGATGGATTGACAAAACGCCCGTCCTTCAGATTTGGGCTATTGAAGGTTTTCATCTCATTGATTTTGTTACTAAGGTCCACATCACCATAAACAGTTGACTCAGGGAGCATCAGATTTGTTTGTTTGTTATCCAGTTGGTTGTTATAATTTGCTATACAATCAGCTACGTGCAATGGAGAGGAAAAGGAAAAGGTCATTCTGCGTCGTCATTCGTTTTAAATTTCTAAGAAGTTTTGCGAGTCACAGTAAAATTGGTGTGTAATATACAAATGGCTTTAAGTAAGACCAATGAGAGGGGCCGAATAGTCAGTGGACACTCCAAAGAAAATAAAATTTGAGAGAATAAGACGATTCACAAAACTCGTGGAGAGACTAAACTGGTTTGAACTTGTGCTTTGCGGTAAATAATTCATCTAATTTAAAATAAATTTCCTCTAAAAGCCATTTTAGTGGGAATTCCACTAAAAGAATATATAAGTAAATATTTATGCATCAACTATACATTTTCTAGCCTTTGGTTACCAAGGCATTTAAAAGTAACAGCTGTTGAGGAAACAGAGTAAGGAATGTAAGTTGAACATACCAAAAAAGGAGGGGGAAGCTCTCTGCAGATCAAAGCATCTGAGGTGCTAATATTTTATGAAGTATTTCTGGTTCAAAAAAGGACTGGGGTAAGGTGCTAGCATGCAGCGCTCAGGAGCCTTGCTGGTTCATATCTGGGTTAAAACCTATAACCATTCTAGGGAGAGATGCCACGTAATCATTTTCTTCATGGATTCATAATGACATCCCAAGAAGAAGGGAATGGTGATGACTATGGCAAAATGAATCGTGGCCACCAGGGACATCAGATCAAATAAAGCCCGGAATAATGACTGATATACCTAATATCTCATTTCCACTCTAGTTTTCTTTTTATTGAAATATTTAAGAATTAAATAACTAATAGACATGAAACTTTTAAGGCCTGAACCTGAAAACATTCAAACAGCAGGAAAGAGCTAAAGTTCTATCTTGAAGTTAAAACATTTTTAAGTCAAGATATAAGTTGCTAGGACAAGCCCGTTACTTTACTCATGTTATTCAATGTGGGGCCTACACTAATATGTCTCTTGAGAGCTGTTTTTCATCTGTATATGTTAAAATGCTAAATAAATATACTTGCTATTAAAGATGCAAATATGAATATAATATTAAAACTTCGCAATTCTTCTGTTCTACAGGAACACACTATACTGTGTTCTTACAACACCCGATCAGAGCACAGAGGTACTAGCTTCACCTGGCCTTTCGTAATTCTCACGTCTAATGTCTAGGTATTTAGATTTGTATAACTGTGGTTAGGAAACATCATAAAGGCGGTAGGCACTTCGAGATGAGGACTATGCACTGCTTTAGGCCTTTAACGTGTACTGCCCAAGAGCTGAGCCGCGCACCACGTGTGACCACTGTGAATAAGAGACTGAATTTTCAACTGTATTTTACTTATTTAACTTGAATTTAAACAGCCATCCATGGCTGGTGGCTACTATGCTCGACAACAAAGCTGTACAGTGAATGTAAGGGGGCACCACCCTCTCCTTTCTGCTGCAGGAGTCAGCCCAGTCTTTACATCCACTAACTGTGCAGGGAGTGGAACGAACACGGGCTCCAGATAGCATAGTTTGGCTGTATAAATTATCACAGCCACATTCAACGAATGAGGACTCAATCAAAATACATAATAGACATTATATACATCATATATATATACATACACATGTTTCTTATGTCTTTGGGGTTTACTTCTGTATTTTAATATCTGATTTAAAATTTCAGTTTTCATGTAAAATTTTTATTACCATTTTATTCTACTCTTTTACCGTTATTAAAGATTTGGGTTCACTCTAACTATGGACTTAATGACCTTTGAACTATATTTTCCCCAAGTCATGAAATTCATTAAATATTATAATTATATACATATAGTTGAAATTATATTACACAATTATTACAAAATAAACACATGAGTTTTACTTTTCCCGATCTGCTATCCAAGAATCTGTGTTTTCTTTTCTCTGAGAAAAATTTGCTTGCTGCAGAATGGAGTATGGGTTTTTAGGGATAAAGAAAATACTTAGATCAGACAAGTATTTTACACAAAAATCAACATTTCATGAAAATATTGACAAGCACTGCCTTTGCTAGCCAAAGGGAAAGGAGATTTAGCTCCTTTATGAGTTCCCTGTATGAGCTCTCTTCGTGTCCCTAACCTGGTCGGCTGTAGGTGGTCAGGTTGCTGTCGCTGTTCCCATTGCCTGCCGTGCAGCAGTTGATGGAGCAGTCGTTGTGACTGTTGCCTGTGTTGGGCCACGTGTCTGCCAGCCAGGGCTGCGCCGCAGGCTCGCTAATGTTGAGAAGTCCCGGCCTGAAGGCAAAACACAGAGAGCAGCATGAGAGGGACAGAAAACAGCGTTTCCGATTCCTACCTCCCACAAACAGCACCGCCGCTCTCCCAAGAATTTGGCGCACCATCTGAGTGTTCTCCCTCTCCTTCCATGCGCCCCACTGTGGCCCGGTGCTCCGGGGTGCACCTCAGTGTGCACAGCCACAAATTTGCAACCTGCTTCAGACTTCAAGTGTTTTACTCTTTGTGATGTTCGATTCTGCCATTAGTCATAGCGATTAATTAATACTCAAACACGGCATCAGAAAACTGGTCCATATTTTTTTTATTCTTTTAGTAGATTAAAAATCCACTAATTAAAGCCATATGTATTCTTCACACTTTTAGTCCAATAAGTGAAACACTTTTGACAACTCAGAAAACAAAGAATTCATTTTCTGAGATAATGAAACTTCATATTAGGGCCAATTACATATTTTTCTTCAAAAATCATGCTTCGGTCTTAGTGAGTTCGGGCTCCGTGGCACTGTGCACAGGGCCACCTCACTGTCCAGTGCATGTTTTTTTAAGCTGTCAATGTTTTCTGACAGGGACAATGTAAAATGCCGTAAGTCCTTCACAAAGGAAAGCTACCAAATGAAATCTGGCAAAACAAAGATGTCAACTAAAAGAAATATTAGCACTCATTTCTTTGGCACAGCAGATGGTAATCCTCTTTCACCGTGCCTTGGGAGGCAAAGTGGATCAGTGGTTATTAATGGGAGCGCTGGACCACCAGTGCCAGGGACTCAGTCTGGAGTCCAGCAGCAGCATTCTTCATGCCCTTTTCTAACACTGACTCCAGGTGATCATTCCGCAAAGGAGGTGATGATGTATGACACTCTGTCTGAGTCACAGTAAACAGACTGGAGTGCAGACGACACAAAAATTCTCTTCTGGGTCTCATTTCCTTTGTTAAAGGGCAACCACCATGCTTCCCATTTACCTGGAAATCAGGAACCTGGGACTTCCCTCTCTGACGCCTTTTCCCTGCAGGACAACACAGGGCAGCAACTATGGAAATTTACTGTACAAAGGATGCTGATCTGAGGAATATTACAACTCAGATAAAGCATGTGGACTTAGACTTTCTGTCTTTATATCCATATGTGTGTATGTCCGTGTGATTAAAATAGGTTGTATTTGCTTATAGCGTGTAAGGCATTGTTCTGAGTTCTCTGCATGCATTAACTCATTGAATCTTTGCAGTTTCTCAGGTTGGGGCTGTGATTATGCAAATCTAGCAGAGGAGGAGCCTCAGTTGGACAAGAGAAGGGAGAAGCTGAGAGAAACACAAGCGGCCACTCCTGTGCGCACACTGTGCTCAGACGCTAGATGCACACGTATGTTGGGGGTGCAGAATGCTCCCCAGGGGGTACAGTCTTAGGGAGGGCTGGGGGAAATGGCTGAAGTCCTGGAATTCAGGATAAAGTTGTTAAGATTGAGCCAACTGACTGCAGTATTAAAACTGTTGATAAAAACATGCTTTGAAGAGCTATGTTGCTGAAGGGTTGAAATGTTAAACACTGAAATGCAAGCTGCACCGCAGATAGCTGGCGTCTGTGAAATAGATGTTAGTTACGGGAATGCTGCACCTAGTAATCTTTAGCTTTCCTATTTTATTCTATCTTCAAGCCAAACCAGAAATGTCATCACTGTCAGAGTTATTAAAACTAAAACCCCTATACTTGACACTGTAGAGCTGTTACACTATGCTTGAAGTAGGGGTCAAGTGGAAATTTTCCACAGTCTGGCTTACATGTTTCAAAATGAAGAGCCTATATTTTTATGCTACTATAATTCACTCAAAAAACAATTTTATAGCAAATGCTTTAATACTATCATAAGCTTAGAGAACTTTTCATAGAGATGTATGATTTCCAATAAGGAAGGCAGACTATAGCCTTCCACCCTCGTCCTCTTTAAACATAAACTAGGAAAGTCAGTTATTTAAAGGAGAACACCAGCCATGTTTACTGTCCAATAATGAATTTTCAAAGGTCAGATGTGTATTCCACTGTTCTTACAGGAAGTCTTCTTAAGGAGTTACTCTGATAAGGGAGTTAGAACCTATTTAAACTACCTTTGTACATTCCAATTACCTAACACGTCCCAGGGATTTTAACTGCCTGATAATAAATTTGAGACAGAAGCAAAATATATCGATTACAGTGGTTAACATGTATCTAAACTAGGACTACATCAGCGGGGCAGGTGGCACACAGTGTAGACCAGCACTCTGCAAGGCTGAGACAGAAACAGAGCAAGCTCTACCCTGGCCTGAGTGATTTAGTGAGAGCCTGCGTCAAAATTTAAAAGAAAATCACCAAATATTATTATATAAGATTATCCTCTTATAAAGGCATATATATGTGGAACGTGTTTATTTTTTAAGAATCATGCCGTGATTACTTTAAATTTTCTCCTTCTGTTATTTCTGATATTGTACTCAGCCACTCCAACAAAAGATCTTTAAACTGCCAAGCCACAAAATATAACACCGCAGCATCCAGCAGTTGGGAAAACAGTGAAAGGGAGTAGCAGTGAGGGGTGTCAGGCTGCTAGTGGGTCACCACCCCTCTGCAGACTCTAGTGTGAAAGCCAGGATGGGGAAGAAAGCTGCTGATACCTTCAGGAGAAGCAGGGCCTGCCTCCCTCACCTCTCTGACAGGCTCTGTTGTTCTGGAATCCTCTGCCAGGGGAGCTTGAAGTTCTCCCTGTCTTTCTCAGGGTTGCTCTGAGTTTCTCTGGTATGTGCTTCGGCTTTGGTTTTAAGTAGGCTTTTTGGAAAGGGCGACAGGAATGTTTGAGGAAAGGAAAAACCATTAATAGGAATAGCTACCTAATATTTCTATGACCCGCCTTGCTTACCTCACATGCCCCATGCCTTCTTTAAGCTGGGGAGAGCTTTCTTCACTTACAATTTCCATTCTTTCTTGGCTGGGAATAACTAAATTTATAATTTGGAGACCTAGACAAAAGTTCTAGATAATTCCTTCATTAGAGAAAAAAATTCATCCCCAAATAATTTCTTTAACGTTATCGAAGACTGAGCTCAGGTCTTTTGATATCCCCTTCTTCAGAAATTCATTCCCTTCTCTGTATTAATTAACATCTTTCAATGGACAGTTCCTCCTATAATTGCTGTATTTATTGGTATCATTCAAATAACTATATCATCAAAATTGATTTACTGAGAAAACACTGTATGTTCTCTGTGATACAAGGATTGACAGTCTACTGTCAGAGGCAAACATAAATGCCAAGGACTGGAAAATTCTTTGTGGAAACCAAATAGCAACCTGTGAAAGATCTGTAGTCACCAAGTTTCTGTCATAATTACTCAGTTCTGCCACTGTAGTTCAAAGCAAGGATAGCTTAAATATGCCTCTCTGTATTCTCACAAAACTTTATAAAAACAGACAGGAGGCTGGATTCAGTCCATAGGTGTAATTTGGTGACTCTTGTTTGCAACACATTGCTGCACGTCAGGCAGGTGACAGGGATGATCCCAGTACAGATCTCCTAGAGGGGGTGGTAGGGGAGAGCCAGCGAGCTGACAGGGCCAGGTGGATGGTACTAGGCAAGGTGTAGTAGAAGAAAGACACACAGCTGGTGTAGCGCTGGCAGGTGGCAGGGGTGCCGACATGAGAGACCCTGGGGGTGGCGTGCAGGGGTGAGGAGCAGACTGGCAGAGCGGATGCTCCTGTGGGCCTCACAGGCCATGTTAGGTTTCAACCTGCTATTTTCAATATGGTGGTTTCTACTGAAAATGGCTTTTTTTCAGCAATTCAGAGACATGATCGGCATGCACTTCAGAAGCTCAGGCTGGCTCCTGTGGGCACAGAGCTCGCAGGATGCAGAGCTGATACAGCCGGCGGAGGTTCCAGAGCTGATACGTTCTGGAACTTTTGCTGTGGACTGGGCCTGGGAAAGAAGTGCCTGCAATGGAACAGTGCCAACGACAGAGAGGAAAGTAAGGACCCACGACATGCTACATGGCGGGTGACAGCAGAGGAGCAGAAGAAGACCCTGCCAAAGGTGGCGCGAGCCAGGTG